CCCCAGGTCTGATGCTGCCTGCGCAATGTGGTGGGGGGAGAACGGAGGGAAGGATGCTCAGGCTGGGGTTTGCCCAGCCTGTGCTGGACAGGGGATGGGTGGTTTGGGGTCCCATGGGGGGCCTCCAATCCACTGGTCCCTGACCAGCACAGCTGGACAAACCCCAACCTGAGCTCCTTGCCCTTCCTTCTCCCCCATCCAATTATGCAGGCAGCACCGGGGTGGAGCTGGGCTGATGCAGCCCAGCCCTGATCAAACAGAAGGTAATGAAGGCACTCCACTTTGGAGCTACTTCAGCACGATGCACGGCACAGATCTCAAGAGAAAATGCAAGAATTGGAGACGGCATTTTTAATTAAGTGGACTGTGCTGTGGAATGAGCTTCCAAAGGAGATTAAGTCAATCCAGCATCAGACTGTTGTTGCGAAATGCTGCAAAATCTTCTTCTTCTAAAGGGTCTTAACATCATGCTCAGAACCCCATGTTCCCAAAACTGACTGACAAAATACTGACTGAAGAACTCTCTTTCTGAAACAAATTAACCTAAAATGAAGACAAACTTAAAATATTAAAACCAAAAGAGTTACTCTTTCAAATGGAAAGTGCCCGATACTTTAAGAAATCCATTCAGGATGTTGCTAGTGTTGGAGTGATGTTGTAGTCGTGAGGTTCCAGGAAATATAAGAGAGCAATGATTGTTTTGGGTGATAACTTTTATTGCAATCTTTTAATTCCAATAAAAGATACCACCCCAAAAAAATCCTTGCCTCATTTATTTGGGACTTTGTTATTACTATTTAATGTTAGGTGGAAGATGGTGGGTGGCAGTATAAAATACCTAGACAAATAAGACAAAGTAAGGCTTCTGTGCAAAATCATGACTCATATCGTTTGGGGACTTATTATAAATCTCAAACTCAGGCCATGTTCCCCAAAAGCTACAATGATGTGTGACCACATTAAAAACTGGGTTGAGTTTTCAACATGGTTCTCATCTTTGTTGTTAAATTATAGGCTTTTTTTATAACCTGCTTTTAGCAAAATATCTGCACGTTGGAAGGAGCTTCATTGATGTCAATGGAGTTTCACAAATATAAAGTTGAAAGGACAGAGGTCAGTATCAGGCCCTTTACGTCAGCCTTACATTGATTAATTTGCTAGTTTCTCATAGAGCCCCCCAAAACTGCACTGTTTTTATGTTTGATTTACAAGCTCTTTTTCTCATTCTTTTTCTAAACTTTTTTCAGATCTCCATATATTTTCAGCATCAAATACATTAAGATGTAGTCTCTAGAAATGAATACTTTCCAATAGGTTTTTTCTGATTCCAAGGAATAATTTGCCACAAGCGAGATGGTGACAGTGCTAGGAATAGATGATGCATCTGAATGGCTGACTGAAGCTGACATACTTAATGGAAATGTTCTTTTAAAGCACCTTCATTCATTATCTTATGTAGGGTCAGGTCTTGCAAATGTTACTGAGGTAAAATTCCTGTTGAAGTCAATGGACGTTTTGGTTGAGTACATACCATAACAGTTTCACACGGCCTTACAGCACTGGAACAGTACTTCAAAAACTTTTCTAAATGTTCTTTTTGAAATGCCTCCTTTGTGACCGTGCATAAGCAGATAGCTCAACCTGCTATTATCTGTCATGTGTCATGGTGACAATATCCTTATTCCACCTGTTTTGTAACTTACTGACACTTCTTTTATCCATAACAGGGGTGCAATACCTACCTGAGACTCGATCTGTTCACATCTTCCTTTGAAGTTCCCTGCTTTGCATCAAGGGTCAGAGTGCTGGCAGACATGCCATTGGTATGAATGATTTACAGCAACAGGTGAAAGTCTTTAAATGAATGTATTTACTGCAACCTTTTGAGGACTCTGTATCAGCTATGCTTGATCGTATTCCATGAGTGTTCCCATGTGTACTGTCCATTGTGTTGCTGTTTATACTAGTAGTAGCATGGTCACATTTCATGGAGGTTGAACTATTCAGTGAATTTTGCATGCTGATCCAGTAAAAATGGTTTAGTGTGTATCATGCACCTCTTCATCTTTCATCACTCAGTAAGGGACAGATGCTCTACAGTGTTAAATGCACTAGCAACATATTGTACATCTCCAGGAATCTTCCTTTGCCTACATCTTATCTCCTACCTCCTTAGCTTTAGACTGTAGCAGCTCAGTCATTTTCATGTTCCATAGCCACCTTTCATTAAGACTCCTTTACCTGAAAAAGCTTCTCCTCCCAAGGGTGCCATTCTTCTCCTTTAAATGCCATTTCATATTATGCCATAGATTTTTAAACATGAATTGCTGTAATGGCACAATGGCCTATAGGCCATTCCAGCAATTACCAATGATCAGGCACACCCTGTTTGAGCACTTTAAAATTAATATTAAAAAACCCTCTACACACCTTAACTTTAATTGTGAAAGCAAGCAATATGGAAACAAAGCCTTCAAACTGTCCTAAAATAAAACAGAAAAAATATCTTTGAGAACTGTAAAAAGCTGGGCACATCTGTTGTCCTATCTATACAAGATAATACTAATACTTAACAATAACAAATGAGTTGTAATTTTGAGAACATGAAAACAAACTTCTCTGACATGGTGCAATAGCATATGCAATTTATATACAATGCTGAAGCAACCTTTCTTTCCCCTTCTTCCTTTTCATGTTTCTCTTTCATCAAGTTGCATAATGAATTGACTAAATGTGCATAGTTGGGATTAAAAAAAGTGTATAATATAAGCTACTCATGGATAACAGATATGAAGCCAGAAACATTACTCAGTGGGAACAAGTGATACAGTGCCCAGAACCCACATTGAAAAATAGATCTCGTCCTTGTGCCAGTATGGGGAGTAGTTTTCTATTGTTTAAAAAAAAATGACATCTTATATATA